AAATCGATTTTTGTCACCTTTCACAAAATAAAAAAAAAATATTTGTATGTTTCATTTTAACATTTCCTCTTAATTCTGCAGCGCTGCTGACTTATACATCAAAGAATATTTACATTCCTATGTTGAATCAGGCCATGACATAGCCAAGCCTTTGAGAATCTATTTTAAAGACCGCTGGGTTAGCACTGTCCATCCTATTGTACAGCGATACTGCCTTATCAAGGATCGTTCATTTCAACAACCTACAAGGGAAGACGTGTTGAACCATCGTGTTATTGTCGCCACTCTCAGTACTTCTCGTAACCTTAGTCATCTAGGCTTAGAACCAGGTAATTATGTAAACATCATTACAATTTATTTATTTTGGGATTTGATTGTTAGTACATTGCACACATAAAACATTTGCCTGTTTAACAATTGTTATCACGCCGTTTGTCAGGTTTCTTCACTCACATATTGCTGGATGAAGCTGCCCAAGCCATGGAATGTGAGACCATCATGCCCTTAGCACTGGCTACTAAGAACACCAGAATCGTACTGGCAGGAGATCACATGCAGGTCAGTGTTTTCCATGTATCTGTCCACTAACCACTCGTGGGAATTGCCATTGTATTGTCGACCTTGATAAAGTGTATATTTTGCTTAGCTTTTGTACTATCTCTACTACCTTTCAGGTATGAATAAATATAGATCATCATTGAGGTAGTTATACTTTCTGTATCAAGTCTTTAGCAGTACACCTCAATTAATATTTATTTTCTTTTTATCTCTACATAGCTGAGCCCGGAGGTCCATTCTGACTTTGCCAGAGATCGTGGTTTGCATGTATCCCTGCTTGAGAGGCTGTTTGAGCATTACCCTGATGAACATCCATGTAGAATCTTATTGTGTGAGAATTATCGATCTCATGATGCAATTGTTGATTTCACTTCCAAATTATTTTATGAAGACAAGTTGATAGCCAGTGGTAAACAACCACCCCATAAGGATTACTTTCCGCTTACTTTCTTTACTGCCAGAGGTGAAGATATTCAAGATAAAAACAGTACTACCTTTTATAATAATGCAGAGGTATGTCATTTCTCTCAATACATTCCTTTCATGTTTTGAGTTTGATCATCTGTTGACACCTAGTTTTCTGTGACTACTGATTTTAATAAATTAGATGCAATTTATTTTGTGAGTAGATTTTGCCCATATTTGTAAAAGACTACTATATACATTTAATATTTCTGTTCTCTGGTAGACTGCTATACATATTTAGTATATGAAAACAAAATTCTTCTAATGGTATATTTTGTTGATATCTAGTCTTTTTTATGGAAATCTTTGTGACAGAGAGAAGGCCATTACCAACTTCCATTTCTTTGCAGGTGTTTGAAGTTGTGGAAAGAGTAGAGGAACTTTACAAGAATTGGCCAATGGAGTGGGGCAAGAATGACACAAATAATATCGGTGTGGTCACTCCATATGCTGACCAGGTGTTCAGGATAAGATCTGAGTTGAGAAGAAAAAGACTGAATGGTGTGAATGTTGAAAGAGTGCTTAATGTCCAGGGTAAGAATGAGTTTAATCAGTTGACTCAATCAGTTGATTCATGCTGTTTTGGGGAGTGGCCAATCAAGCCAAGATGTAATAATAATCATACTGCCAGTTTGATACTTTAAAATCTGTCTGTACCGAATAAGAAACTAAGAAAACTGTTTGGTTCAGTGTTCACAAAAAGAAGGCATACTTGATCTATGACTTCTTCTTCTACATATATATATATATATATATATTCACATATTACTAAAATTCTCTGACATGACATTTGATTAGAGGCTTGCTTTTTCAAAATTTGTAGCAGGTACTATATTGTATACCATTGACTGCTTTTGTTTTGAAAAGTTATACTGTGCAAGGCTTAATTATTTGCCTGGTTTTATTTTCAAAATGTGCTATAAACCCAGTGAATTTTCACATTCACCAATAGAATTTATTGTTCCTTCACAAACTAGTAAATTTAAAAGTGAATAACCATGCAAATATTTTCCCTTCTACAGAGTACCTTGTCTTGTAGTATATGAGTCAGCTTCTTTAGCCCTGCTGTTTACTGGTACAATGTCAACGAAGCAAAGCTACATGTATTCATATAACTTATTGTCAGTCAATATCAACTACACATGTTTGACCTCCAACGCTATCATTGATATGGTGTTTTTTTCTTTCAAACTTTTTCATTTTGTGACAATAATTTCAATTTCAAATTTTGGACATCTTCTTTCCACCTTGGCTGGACCTTCATTAGATTTGCTAATTTTTTCACAAAATCTTCAATACTGTTGATCACATTGCTTTCACAGTGTGCATTGCAAATAGCTAGGCTATATCAGTAGACACATTGCTAGTTTTTACCACTGCTCTGATGATATCGACCTAATCTACCCTCTACTCTTTATTACAGGTAAACAATTTCGAGCTCTTTTCATCAGTACCGTACGCACAAGAAATACTTGTAAAACACAACAGAATAAAAAAATTACCAAAGCTCACAACTCCGAGGAAGAAATGGATCTGGGATTTTTGTCCAATGCTAAGTTATTAAACACTGCCATAACCAGAGCCCAGTCTTTAGTTGCCGTCATTGGTGATCCTGTTTCATTATGTTCTGTCGGTAAATGCAGGTAGGTTGATGGATCTCATGGAAGCATGTACAGTCGATTGTTATGTTCAAAAATGTCTTAATTTGTGTATAGACGATGGTAAGTGACGGGAACTAATATCGATTATTAACATTTTTTGTGTGTCTCTCTTCTGTAGAAAACTCTGGGAGAAGTTTATTGAAATCTGTAGTGAAAACAAGAGTCTGATGGGTATGACCTACTCCACAATCAGATCTCAGCTTGATGGTGTTGAACTGAAGAAAACATATACACTGAATCCACTAGCTCCTGAATTCATTCCGAGGGCCTTGAGAGCTCAGATGGTCGGCATGCCTTTCATACAAGGATCAGGAGCTGTACCTGTAACAGCAATTCCAGATGCCACTAGAGGTCATGCATTTCAGTCTGCAGCCAATCAACAACTACCCAGTAGTCCATTGGTGGGAAGTCCTAGTAGACCTTACGGCCCTTTCCTTCCAATGGGCAGTGGTAGTTTAGTGCGGCCGGCTAGTCCAGTGCACAGAATAGATCCACACACTGGTATGAGTTATGTCTACGTACCAAACGTGTATAATCCGGGTGTTCTCATGCCTGTTCCACTGCGCATGCTGCCAAATGGTCAGATGCTTCAACCGTATGTAGATCCCAGCTGCATGTTTCCTCCCAGAATGCAACAGCTGAATTACCTCAACATGTCACAAGTCTCACCACCAGGTGGAGCCTTCAATCCTGGTCCTCTCACACCGCCTCTCCAAGCAGAGAAAACACTGGGCAAGAAAGATCTGAGAAACCCAGGCAGGATGCTGCAGCTGTACGTCCAGTCCCTACACACAATAAAGAGTGTCCTCCTTTTGGAGGATTGCTGATGGAGGGTAAAGATGGGGTGGCTTTAAAGATGAAGGAGAGGCAGATGCAGGAAGAGTACAAATACTTAAAGCGTACAAGAGGAGAAGAATATGCTAATATGTTTTTGTCATCACAAAATAGGTTGGGTGGCACATTTGGTAGATTTGACAATCGTTTTATTCCACATGCTCTGTTTTCACCAAGACAACAAGGTCCTCATTCACATCAACAACAACAACAACAACAGCAGCAGCAGCAGCAACAACAACAACAACAGAGAGTTACTCAAGGATTTGGGGATCAGCAGAATTATCAGCAACCACAGCAGTGGTTAGAACAGCAACAGCAGCTACAACAACAAAGAATGGCAGCCATGAATATAGCAGTGGAGGGGCACGGTGGAGCTCTATCTAGAGCTGCGGACAGCTCAGACACTGCAAGACATCAAGAGAATGCCCAGAGACAAGGGACATTGGGTAATATGCAAAATTATGTCAGTAATACCAATGCAAGTCAAGATGGAATATCCAGTGGTGGTAACAATGTCACCCGGCCAATGGAGACTTGGACTCAATCTAATGATGACCAAAGTGTAATGGATATGGTTGGGCGAATGCCACAGATTAAAAGCATTACAGCGGTTGGCCATCGTAATCAGTGCCGAGAAGTAGCTCAACAAGCATATGGTGAGAAATGGAGTGAGGTAAGTCGTAGCGGTGATGACTGGAACAATGGATGGAATGATAGTGGTTTGCAATGGGGGAACTCAGGTGAGATGCGTTCACAGCGTCAGCCAACAAACATGGGACCAGTGGACATGTCAGCATCATTGTCAAAACTATCTCAGGCCACAGGAAGAAGCACACCATTGTACGAGAGACAAAGTGAAAGAAATTCTCCAGCTTATAGAATGTGGCAACAACAACAACAACAACAACAACAACAGCAGCAACAACAACAACAACAAGAGCAGCGACAACAACAGTCTCAACAGCAGCCACAACAACCTGTGTACCGATATTCAGTGGAAAACTACCCAAAGTTGGGTAGTCGATCTATGTCTCCACTTTCTCAGCCACAGCAAGTGAGAATGGGAGTACCCTCATCTACATCTCCATCATATTCAGAAGCAAGTAGCCCAACTTCCCCAAGTCAGCAAGGACAGGTAGCTAAACAAGATATCAAGACGCCGTCTGGTATGTCCTATGCTAGTGCGTTACGTGCACCTCCAAAACCCAAACCAAAGCCAGTAGCTGAGGGTAGAGGAACTGCATCACCGGATCCACTGTCATTAATTAAGGATCTTAATATCAGATCAAATAATGATGGGTATTATTCATATTTTAATTAACCAAATGGTTATTGTAATTTGGAGAATGGGGGCTTCTCGTAACAGTCATGGAGTAACTTTTGCGACTACCTCTGAAATCTGCTATTTTTTTGCAGAGTTGTTTTTTCTTTAAACTTAATTAGGTTTCTTGTAACAGTCATCAAGTTGTGTCATCAAACTTTTGAGGATAATATATACAGTGGTGTCCTTAATACAAACAGTTGTGGAGAGGCTAGAAAGTGAATCTAATTGATAGATCATACGTAAATTTAACAAAGGTATATTTCTCTATAAAAACTTTCTCTTTAATGTTTTTTGCCATTTCTATATCTATTTTCTTATTCTCTTTTTTGAAAATAGTTAAAAAAAACAAATTTGCTTTGAAAACAAAATTCAATTATTTTGTTGTTGTGATTTATTTACCAGTTTACTTACAACTATCAACTTAATAAATGCAAACAAAAAATGCAAACAAAAAAATATGAAAAAAAATGTAAAATACAACAAAAAATATTTTCTATTAGTGTGTGTGTGTGTGTGGACCTTGTAAATAAAGTTTAGGTAGGAAACTTCATGGTATAGAAATATGGCTATTTTCAGCATTTTTTGAAGTACCATATTGTTTGCTGGATCGTTAAAATATGACATATTTTGACTTGAGATACACCTTTATAATTTTTGCAAATGAATATGCACTACTAGATAATGTAGTTCTTTTTGTTATTTCGGTGTACTTAGTAATTCTTGCCATGGATTAGGTTTAGTCGTATCATTCATTTAATAAAATTTGAAGTTCCTAATTGTGCTCTCATATGTAAAAATTATATTTTTTTGCTGACTTTTTTTATAAATTGATATTTGGGTTGCTCTGGTTTATTAGGTAAATGAGAACGATTGTTTTCCTTTTTTAACAACATTTTGTTTTCCATTTTCTGAAACAAGTTTGGTTTTATTTGGGCTGAATATTGCAGCATACTTTTTTTGCTCAATGCTCTGTCTAACAATGGTGATTTTGAGACCAGTTGTTTATTATTTTTGGAATCTTTCCCATTATCTTGTCATCACTTCTTAGTTTTTACTGTTCACTAGTTTAATTCCGAATTGCCCTATGCAATTCCTTGAGCTTTTGTTAATCTTCAGTTTTCAATGTCCAATGTCCATCGTTGCTGTAGAAATGCACTACTAATCAAAATGGAAAAAATAACTTAACTCCTCACAATCGCATAGAAATGCACCGTAGAAGAATTTATTGTCACTCTATTTTAATTTCACTAATGTGATGGTAAAACAATAAGTTCTATTTTGCTACATTTCCATGCGGTCTTTAGTTTAGCCAATTTTACTGATAACATGTAGTGACTAATTAAAAGCAATTACAGTGTTACATGTATTTATTTTCCCAAGGTTCACTTGTTATAGTATTAGTTTAAATTTGTTGCTGCCCGCAATTTTGTAACTTGAGTTTCAACTGGAAATGCATTTCAAGTAAGTGCTGTGACTCCCCTCCCCTTTTGAACCACCATGATTTTTAGTGATAGCAAATTTCCTCCGATATTTATGAAATATGACCAGTTTAGAGTATATTTATACTACCGTAGATCATGCCTTTATTCATGTAATATCTTCAAAAAATATGTCTTTAAAATGACAAAAGGGTCTACTTTTGTTAAAGTCCACTTTGCATGACAGAAGGTTAATAAAACTGTCTGTATTAGGATGAAATGTTGAGTGGCGGAGCACCAGCAAATGCATTTTCACTAAAAATTATATTTACATTTAATCTTTTCTTAATACGTTTCTTAAAAAACTAAGTGATTTTTTTTTTTTTTTTACAAACCAGGCTTTGTGCAAAGTGTTGTTCTTTCTTTGCCTCCTCACATATATGTATTTTTACTTTCAAAGTTGTGCACAAAAACTAGAAGACTTAACCTTTAGCTGTTGAACGTTTTTTTCTGAGATTTTAAATTTGCGTGGATGAAATTTTGTGAAAGTCATTGTGACTCCCCTCTGTCTTATTGAAAAACCCTGGCAAAATGTTCATTGCTAAATTCCGTAATAGGACCCTGGCAAAATGTTCACTCCTGAATTATTTAATGTTCTCTGACTCCTAAAAACTGGATTTGATCTATCAACAATTCCACAAACTTGTATAATTAAAAAAAAAGTATTTGTTATTATGTTCTAGGTAGCACAGTGGAATATCATACATTTTATGAGATGCAAAGAAAAGACCTTTTCTTTATTTGCCAAATTTTCTTGTATTTACTTCTAGCACACTTATACATACTATTTTCATGTCTTTTTCATATATTTTTTTTGTTCAATGTACTGTTTAAAAAAAGAAAAAAACGCACAAAAAAATAGCTGTTCTAAAATAGGTACATGGTGGTAGTTAAAAACAATGAAATAATAAAAAAAAAAAAATACTGATAAAGAAAAAAAAGTAGTTTCGTTAACCATGGAGTTATCCTTAAAAAAAGAAACAGGGAAAAAAGACTTGATTCTCATTGTACATATTTGAACATGTAATATATGAACCATTTTTGCGAAGTTGATCTCTCTGTACATAACAACGATATCGTACATATATTTAGTATCCTTTCTCACTTGTATATACCTCTTTTTATGATTATCAGTGTACCCTTACACCCCCATGTAGATCACTATTTTGTCACATCACCTTCATTTAGAATGGGTGGGTGAAACCAAGTCTTGTGTATTATGGGGGTGGAAGGTTTTCAGCATTCTTGAAAAATATTAGAGTTGAAATCATTAAAAGAAAAAATCTAGTTCTCAACTGACAAAAAAAAAAGATATCACAAAAAAGTTTTTATATATTTTTTGACATTGGGATTTGGTAAATAGTTTTAGTACATATACGACTATCATTACAATTACAAAGAATGATACGTTTCCTTGGTCGGGGTTTGCTACTGATTTTAAATGTTTATAGAATAGTTCCTGTATACATCAGTATGTTTTTCTCATATTTGTTGTCATAGCAACATATAGTATTTACATAGGTGCATAGATCTTCTGTGTGTAGGGTTAGGTGTTGTTCTTGGGACCAATTATTCCAACGAAATTCACTTAAATCCAATTATCGGGTTCTATTCCTTAGTTTTGTGTATCTTCTCGGTGCAGTTTGAGTGCATAGTATAATGTTTTTACTAATAGCCTCCCATTTATTGTTACCTCTAATGTTAGAAAAAAGTTCAGATTTTTTTTTAGTGTTTGTAAATAGTTATGCAGGTGGTAGGGAATATTTCAGTGTTTGAATTATGTTATTCATTTATTTGTTTGGATGGTAATGATTGTTTAGATTCCGCCAGATAGTGCATTTATCTGTGTTTTTTTGTTTTTATAGATATTGATAGTGTTTACAGAAAGTTTCTATTTATTTATGAGTATATTGCTTGAGTGCTGTATTTTGTCTTTATTTTTAGCCTTATGCTTGATGTTTGTTTTGTTTGTGAAGGGCATAATTATGTGTTTCTTACCAAATTAGTAACTTCTACAGCTTAGACATTGGCATGCCCAAATGACAGTATGAAAAGTAAGCACGGTAAATAGTTGTTGAGCATATTGTAATTTTGTCAGAACTTTGTTCAACGTTTATTGTGCTCGCAAATAGGGTTGAGTTTAGCTTAAAACTATTTTATTGCTCATGTCCACTATTTGTGCTTCTACTTAAGGTTGCGGG